ATTTTTTAAAAGGTAAGCAGAATGTGGTGTTTAAAAAGCTTTTTGTGTATTTGTTCTTAAACCTAAATTTTCTAAGCAGATCTTTTTTAAAAATTGTAATAATATATATATAACATAAATTTTTCCATTTTAATCATCATTCTTAAGTGTACAGTTCAGTGACATTAAGTATATTCATATTGCTGTACAACCATCACCACCAGAACTTCTCACCTTGCAAAACTGCAAGTCCATGCTTAATATAGTTTTACTGGTCTCCTCCTGTCCCATACTCTGGCAACCACCATTCTACCTTCTTCCTGTATGTATCAGACTGTGCTAAGTACTTCGTGTAAGTGGAATCATATAGTATTTTCCGTTTGTGGTTCATTTCTTTCACATAGAACATCTTCAAGTTTCATTCATGTTGCAGCATATGTCATTATTTACTTTTTGAGTAATGTCATCTATTGTATGTATATACCACCTTTTATCCATTTGCCCATCAACAAACACTTGGGTTGCTTCTACTTTTAACTGTTATGAACAATGAGACTATGAATGAATACAGGTACACAATATCTGTCTGAGGCCATGTTTTCATTTTTATGTGTGTACCCTGAAGTGTAATTATGTTATCATATGATAATTCAATTTTTGGTTTTTGAAGAATTGCTATAACATTTTTCACAGAAGCTAGACATTTTTATATTCCCATCAGCAGTACACAAAGGTTCCAGATTCTCCACACCTTTGCCAACACATTATTTTCTGTGCTTTTGATAATAGCAATTCTATCAAATGGTTTTAAAGTGATTCATGTTTTTGGAATAGTACATGGAACTAGTGCCACCTTTATCCAGTATCTCTGAAATAGTGAACAAATCATCAGGTGATGCTGGCACTGGTAAGAATGTCAGCTTATAAAAGTTAGTCATTTGATGTTGTTTCCCTCTGCTTTGCTTATAAGTAGGATCTTTTTACCATTAAAGAATAATTCTAATAGATACCAGTTTTCTTTCAACAGTTTTTTTCTAACATCAAAAATATCTCTTGCACGCAGATTGATCTTGTACAGATAAAACAATTGTTCACTCAGATGTATCAGAAGACACTGAGCACAATGATTGCAAGTGACACAAGTGGCGATTATCGAAAGCTGCTTCTGGCCATTGTGGGCCAGTAGGAGAGAAGGTAACCATGAGTGAAGCAATTCAAAGCTATCCTTCAAAGCATCACTGACCTGCACTCAGCAATATCAGCTATCACCTAACCAAAGAGCTTTTACTAAGAACTGTGACAGGGTATTGTGCTTGGTTTGCACATGTGGCTATTGCCTTAATTTCAATGTTATTTGCCCTCCATATACAATCAATGTAAAGCCATATCCTAACATAGTAATAATGTAATGTTTGTAAAGTATAATTCTCATTGCTTTCATTCTATTCAGGATATCGAATTGAATAAAAATCACACTAATCTCTAATGTTGTGTAAAAATGTTGAATTTTGAAAAAGGTTGCTAAAAACTCTGCTTTCCAGACCCATACTAGGTCCATAGACAGTAATATTTGATAGTATATGAAAATAGTGTTACTTAAAACAAATCTGGTTTTTAGACCAAAAAGTAATTTGCAGCTATTTACATAAATTCATATTTTATATCCATAAACTCTAAACTTTCCATGTAGAAAATTAACATTGCATATAAAAACTTTTAAAAAGGGATTAGATGTATCAATTATAATTCAGTGAAGTTTAAGTACTAACAGTTATACAAAATGAATTAGATACAACCTTACTCTCAGATAGATGTCAGTACAGTTGTATTGTAGGCAAAAGCAAGATACAGGAAGAATAATGAACCAAGTTAGATGTAATTTTTTTAACATTTCATAAAAATGTTTTTTATCTGTTTTGAAAAAAGTAACACTGATAGGATTTACTAAAACAGAAGGTAGGATATTAAAAGGTATAAACAATGTAGTTTTAAACTTAAAAATTACAGTCTAATTTATATGCCAATCATGCTTTTAAAATGTACATTTCAGTGGTTTTTAACATATTCATGTATTTGTACAGCCATTACACAATTTAATATTTTAATCACCCAAAAAGAAATCTTATATCCATTAGCAGTCCTCCTGAGTCTTGTTCCATGAATTTATCCATTTGGGGCTTTTCACGTTGCTATGTAATAAAAATCCAGCTGAGTTTTATTATTATCATTATTATTTTATTGTGATAACATTGGTTTACAATCCTGTATACATTTTAGCTGTACAGGTTTACACATCTTCAAATGTATGTTATCATATCATGCCTACCACTTTTCTCTCTTCTCCCTCAGTTCTGCTGAGACATAAACTCTAGAAACCTCAGTTCTGCCGTCAGAATCCAAGTGTTTATATTGGTCTGATTTTGTCTGTTCCTTTGCTTTGTTTCTTTATATTTTACATATGAGTGAAATCACCCAGCATTAGTCTTTTCCCTGTGTCTTGTTTTGCTTAGCATAACCCCTTTCAGTTCATCTGTGTTGTTACTAATGGCAAGTTTGTTTGTTTTTTTTTTCCACTTTATTTACTGCATGGCTAGTATTTCATTGTGTATGTATGGCACATTTTTGCCCATTTATTTGTCAACAAGCACTTAGGTTGCTTTCATATCTTGTACATTTGTAAATTGTTCTGCAGTTAACATAGAGATACATTTACCTTCTCAAATTAGCACCAACAGTGAATTTCAAAGATCCACTGACTTTATTAAAAGATTCTTGATTCAAGTAGCACCCCATTTACCAAGTAGAGGAGCTTCCAAAACTGTACAAAGGAAAAGTTTTTATAGGCAGAAAGAAGATAATAGAAGAGGAAATTACTTCAGGTTTAGGTAGTGTACCTGTTGGAGATAGAAACATGTTTTGGACAAATCACCTCATCTTCCTTTGGGGAATGAAAAGTTAACTTCTTTGATGCTGATTAGAAAAATTCTTGCTTACCAGTTGAGACCACATTCCTGGGGGAAGTCAAAATTTCAGTTAGGGTAAGTATTAAGCCACACCCTTTGAGAACTGTTGGTTTAACAATGTGAATGGAATCCTATAATATGTGGCCCTTTGTGTCTGGTTCTTTTAATCGCCCCAGTCTTTTAAAGGTTCGTCTCTGTTGTAACATACCTCAGAATTTCATTCTGCTTTATGGCTTAAAAGCCCATTGTGTGGATATACATTTTGTCCACTCATGAACTGATGAACATTTGGGTTTTTACTTTTTGGCTATTATATAAATGATACTATGAACATTTATATGCCAGATTTTGTATACATGTTTCTTAGTAATAGAACTGGGAGTGTGACTGCTAGATCATATAGTTTATATATGTTTAACTTTTTGAAGATATGCCAACTGTTTTCCAAAGCAGCTAACCGTTTTACAATCCTACTAGCAATGAATCAGCCTTCTAGTTTCTCCTCATTCTCACCAACACTGTCATTGTTTCTTATGGCCATTTTAGGGATTGTAAAGAGATATCTCATTATAATTTTGATTTGCATTTCCCTAATGACTAATGAACATATTTTCTTGAGCTTATTGGCCATTTGCATATCTTTGGGAAAATGTCTATTCAAATACTTCACCATTTTTAAATTGCAAAATTCATCTTTTTATTGTTGAGTTGTAAGATTTATATGTTGCTTGTATAGTATACCTTCATTAGACACAACTTTGATTTTTTACTTTTATGAGATTGCCAGTCAGGTACAACCACAAAAGGACATAAGGGAGAGGCTCAGGAAAACACTATTATTTATATTCAGCGCTCACGGAAATATGAGGCACTGTACACAAAGGATCTCATGAGAAAGATACCAAAGAGGTCAGGAGGCAAAAGATAGGACGTTGGGGATAGTTCTTAGGTCATGTTGTGCTTTTAGCTGTTGTACCACCAGGAAAGCCCTAACATTTTTAGATATTTTTTAGATATGGTGTATGGTAGGCATCCAGCTTCTTTTGCATTTGTATATCCATTTTTTGCCAGCATCATATATTGAAAAGACTTTTTTCTCCATTGAATTATAGTAGCACTTTTTTTAAAAAAATCATTTACCATAAATTTGATTACTGTACTCTTAATTCTGTTCCACCTATCTATGTATATGTCCTTATGCCTTGATTTCATCTTGATTATTGTACTTGGTTTCTTGATAGCCCTCACTTGATTAAAGCATTTCACTGTGGTATTTTTCCCAAATGAGGGTTGTGAGTGAATTTCCACTGAGGTACTCATCCTACCTTGTGCATGACACAGATTTTCTATATAATAAGCTAGGGTTAGGACCAAGTCTTTCCTGGGAAACTGTTCTTCTATTAATCACATATGAACATAGTATTTCATATAGTGTATCATTATGAGAAAACCAGAAAAGAATAAATAACAAGCCTAGGTAAGCAAGATAATAACAGGTCTCACTTTCTTAAACACAATTAATCCTTAGACTGTAGAGTGCCTGAGGGCAAAGCCTTCTATTAGTTCTTTTATTCTTCTAGATTGGTAGTGGCCACTCTGAATTTCCTGTAGTGCTTATGAGGTATTCAATTGTTTTCTGACCAACTTAGAATATCAATTTGTATATGGAAAACAGAAAAGACCCTCTTTAGTGGAAATACAATAAGGCTGAAAATCAGAATTATGTTATCTACATGTATAAATTATTTGGTGACAAAAAAAAAGCAATACAAGCTCTGTAATAAATGCAAATTCTTTAGTCTGAAAGACCTATTACAAGAAGTACTGTCTCAACAAACTCCTTTCTCTTTATTAAAAAAAAAAAAAACTTGTTTCTAATTAATCTGTTATGTCGAAAGTGAATTTATTTCTGAAAATATCCAATAATGCAATCAAATGTACTACTCATCTTCTGATCCACAGACTCAAAGCAATAGCTGTCACCCACCAGAGATGGTTTTTTTTTTGGGGGGGGGGTAAAAATTGACAAGCTCATTCTAAAATTTATATGTTAATATAAGGAAACAACTATAACCAACAATCTTGGGAAATAATACACTTGGAGGACATACTTTCCAATTTCTCACTTAATATAAAGTTAGTTATAAAGGAATCAAGTACAGTAATCATATACTTCGCGTTTATTATATAAACATTGTGGAGTAAAACTAGGCAATACTGAACTTTCACCAACAGTGTATGAATCTTAAAATACTGACAATGCTTATGTATATATGAGATTTGTTAATTTTTGCTTACAAGATCTGGGGTACTGGCCAGTGGTGGAGGGTTGGGGGAGCTAGAGAATTCACTAGAGATAGAGTGGGGGGCAGAACAGGTGGACTGACTGAAATACACTGTTGAGGGGTAAGGAGAGGTCTGCCACGCCATGTGGGTCACCTCCCTGGCCGGGGATTGAACTCCCACTGCAGTGGCTGCGGACAGCTTCATATGAGTCAGCTTAAACGTGTTGGGCCACCAGGGGGGCCCTCGATGCATTTTCTTCACAAACAACCTGTTTTCAACACCGTTTAATAAAGGCTTTTTCTGATAATTTTAAGTTTCCTTTTAGCTTTCCGTCTTATGTAAGTACATGAAAAAAGGGGTTGAGAACAAAACAGGGAAACTTTGCATTTAACTAAAACTCCTAGCGAGGGAAAGTGAGAACTACAGAAAACAGGAACAACCCCCAAAAGCTAACAGCCCCCAGCCCACAGCCCACACACTCAGCTCCCAGAGCGCAGTCGCAGAAACTCATTTCGAGACGCATTCTTTTTCCTTCCTGGAAAACGCTATCGCGAGTCTTGGGATGAACTGCCGGGATTGAGGAAAGTAAATTCTCGCGAGAGGCAATTGGTTGCTATAGTTGCCACAAACGCAGCTGCGGCTACCTCTGGTAAGGGGGTTCTGAGTGCTCTCTGTTCCCGGCTTCAAGACTCCGGCCCTGTAGCCACACCTCGTCACCTCAGAATTTGCTCCTGCAGCTACTGAAACTCAGAGGCCGCGCTCCCGCCCCCTGCACTCGGGTGCAGATGTGACGCCGGCAACTTCGCAGCGCGCGGACCCATCGCCGACCTCAGGCGTCCCCTAGCCCCACGAGGCCACCCGTAAACCTTCCTTTCCACTTTGCTCCCAGGTGCCGCGCAGTTAGGGCAGCCAGCACCGCTGTGCCCAGAGCACTCCCTGCCACCACCTCCTTCATTACTTTGGCTCCTTCCCTTCATCTGCTTCTGAGCAGACGAAAAGAAATGAGCGGCTTGATGGGGACAGACAAGGAACCCCAGCCTGACTGCCCTCACAATACTTCTAACTAGCCAGATTTCTTGCACTTATTATTCAACAAATAATGCCACTAATGCCTTTGCAGCGGAGAACTGGTGTCTGGCACTCGAGGGCTGTAATTATAAACGACAAATTACTTGTCTGTCGGGAGGTGTGTGTGTGGGGGGGGTTGTTCGTTATTGAATATTTGGGAAAAGCAGTGCATGTTAATAATGCCATTTGAACAGTGCTTCGTAAATAAGGTAGTTGCACTCTTACTAGTGGATATTCACAACAAATGGGAAACAGGTCAGTTTATTTACAGAAGGCGAAACAGCCTCAGAGAAGTTAGGTTTTGGGCAATTTAACGCATTGACTAAGGTAGGGTCATGCTAGTGAGGCTTAATTCTTATACCTTTGGAAAGGGATTATTGATAAAAAGGTAATTTCAAATGTAAATTCGGTAAGAAAGTTGCCTGGGACGTTGAAGCCAAGAAAGAGCCTGGAGAACATTAATTTGAGAATTTATGGCGACTATGAAAATGTTAAAGTAACTGGGAAGAGGCAGAGTATAAGGTCTGGAAACAAAGTTTTCTCCCATTTTCTAAACATATTTAGTGTAATGTATCCTAGTAAACATTGAATTGCATGATGCTCCACTTTACATTTGTTCAGAAAATGACTTTTTGAAAGACACATATCCAGTGTACTTTTTAAATTGTGTTCTTAAGTGTTGTAAAATAGACAATATCTGTCTTTATAAGGTATATTGTGGGGCTTTTTTTCAGTGGACTAACCATTCTATGTGACTACTTCTTTCCTGTACTCAAAATATGTTTTCATAAAGTGGAGACATTAACTTTTGAGGGGGGCTTTGCAACTGCAGGGACACACACACAAACACACACACTCACACAGAGCTACCAAAGTATGCTCTGAAAGATGAGGGGAATAGCAAGGGGGGATAACCTCACTGTATTGTGATAATTTGTGATTAATAGATTAGTTACATATACAAAGATCTTTTTTAGCATTAACCACAAATCTTCCCATGATCAGTTCCCTAAAGCTTTGCCTGTCTAGCAGCAAAGATTGGAAAATGCACAAAACGATGCTGGACTATGGCATTTCTCTGGCTTCTCCCTGGTAATGGCTATGACTAATGTGGTACTTATTTAGCTAATGCATGAGGGATAGGTTCATTCATTGTGTTAACAGAGATCAAAGAAGACCAGAGGGACTTTGCCCAAGTGCTGATATGGAACAGGTGTCATCAACAGGCAAACCTGTGCGGATCACTGTGACAGATGGATATAACTTGGTAAAGTTATTTTTGGAAATCTGAGAAGTCCTTGATTTGTTTATTCTTTTTGAAAGTACTTTTGCCTTTGGGCTCAGGTCCTTATGTCATATACCTGCTGGTTGGGTTTGGGACAAGATGTATTAGGAGCAACAGCAGGAAGAATGGAGTTTCACATTGTCCTTTACTACCAAATCTGTTGACTTTACATAGCAATGGCATTTTCTTCTTAGTGTTCCTTATTGTTAGTCTATAATCAACAAGTCATGTTATGTGTGTGTAAAACAGTTAGGATTTTGAGTAGTAAGTTTAACAGGGATAAAAGAAGAAAAGATTTTTGTTTTCTTAGATAGCAGTTCCATTCTCCTGAAAGAATGTGAATTATTCTAGAGTTTCTTCTGTGATTGATTTCATTTGAAGAGTTTAAATAATAAAACTACAAATTATAACAATTAAGCTTATGAAAATAATGAAGTGGCAAAATACTCATACAATATTATGCAGTCAAAAGTGTTTATTTCAAAAACATGATGTAATAAATAATTTGTTTAGCTTTAAAGGGCATATATAAAAATATGTTAAATTTATTTTTGAAAATATAAAAATATGTTAACATCCACAGCAAAACTTTAGAAAATACATTCTAAAATGTTAGTGCTGCATATTAGAGTGAACTTACAGTTGTTTACCTATGTTTCTTTTTAAAAATTTCTATTTTAATAATCAGTTAAATATAATAAATGTTATCTGTCAAGTCTACAACATGAAATTTAAATAGAATTTGTATTTATCTACAACTATTTGATGACTTTTCTACCTACCTCTTCTGTATTTGTGATATATTAGGGAAACATGGAAAATACTCTTCAGTTCAAGTCAAAATGGGTAGCCAAATGCATAGGAAAATTCTCTGTTTTGAGTATTATTGTTAAAGTAATATGTTTCTATCAACAGAAAGGTGTTAAAGGGGATACTCCAGTTACTTTTATTCGTGCAGAATTCAATAATGTGGTTTTGGGAGACTCTGCAAAAATTACTGTTTCTCCAGAAGGAACTGCAAAATATAACTTCACTAGCAGTTTTGAGTTCAATCCTGAAGGAGGAATCACATTAGATGACCTCGCCCACAAACCTGTGTTCTGTAAGTCCTAAAATTTCTAAAATTATAAGTATAATATAAGGAGATTCTGAAGTATTTAATAACTGTTGTTAGGACAGTTGAATATACCTTATCTTATTAATCCAGGGGTAATGTTGTTTACTTAGAATCCTGTCTATCTCTGGTAGCAGTTACTCTGGATTATTAATTTAATTGAGTTTGTATTAAGGACCTTTTAATATGTCACTGAACTTTGCAATCCTTATAACAAACTGAACTGGAAGCTTTTCCATTACTTAGAGTTGACAGGTTAAAAAAATGAAAACAAAACAAAATTTGATACATACTTATACTAAACATTATTCATTATTCTTCTGAAATTCAAATGTAATTATATTATTACATAATTATAGCTTGTATTTTACCTGGCAAACCTAGTTATACTATACTCTCCATACTCTAACAACTATTAATTTGCCTCCACTGTTAGAGAAGACACTTTTTGAAATCAGGGCTGTGTCTTAATTATTTTGAAATTTCTAGTGCCTAGTAATACTGGGATATAAATGGGCTTAAAAGTTTGTTGAGCGAATAAACGGATAAATGGATGGGATAGTTTCTGTATCGACATTTATAAAGTTTCTAATTATATGGTATTGTAAAGTATAACAGTGTATACAGTGTATAACAGTGTATACATTGTTCCTGTACCTATGTACATTACCCTAAGTATTTTTGTTTTACCTATACTCTCTTTTATTTTTGTTAATTTTTAGTGGCACAACTCCTGGGTTGATGCCAAAAAGGTAATATTCCAAAATCCCAACCTCAGAGAGGTTGGGGTGGGGGGGCCTGGTAATGTACACAGTATTCAAGATAGATGATTCCCAAACCCTTTCTTCTGTAAGGGTCACCTGAGACTCTCATAGAAAATAATCTTCAGGTCCCACCTCGGCCTACCAATTCTCAATTGCTAGTGGAGGAGCCAGTGAACCTTATTTTTAGAACAAAAACACTACTTTGGACTATTGTTCTAGCTCTGGCTTAGCCAGGAATCAGCCACCTGTGGAAAGAACCAGTTGACCTGTATATTTTGATTGTTCCCTTCTATTTATCTTCTGTTCTGATACCCCAAATAAAAAAAGGAGTATCCTAATAACTTCCTTCCCTAGATTGTTGGATAGGAAATATGGTACTTACTGGAACATCTCTTTAAAGGTATTATTGAACTCCTAAAAATAGTCAACACTTTTATCCCAGTAGCAAAGCTGGACTTGAAACCTAGAACTATTGACCAGCTACCATTGGTGTATGTTCAGTAGTGGTGGTGGTCTGAGGGAGGAAGCAGTAATCAAAACCCCAGGGACTTGGTTTTATTAATGCCCTTACAGGGACAGAGACCTTGGGTTGCTGTAATGGAGAGGTGAATTTCAGAATAATGCTCCTCACTATGACCCTAAACTTTTTAAAAAAAAAGATTTATCTTCGTTACACATACAAGAACTGAGGTGTAAGCCAGAGCTGGGGGGCAAGAGGGGAAAAGAGAGTTCACCAAAGAGAGAATAGTGGGCTTAAAAGGCAAATCTACTGAAATATACTGCTGAAGATATCAGTGGGGGAGAGAGGAGAGGTCTGCTGTGCCACATGTGTTAGCTCCCTGGTGGGGGAATTGAACTCATGCTGCAATGGCTGGTGATAGTTTGATAGTGCTGAGACTTTAACCCTTCTGCCATCAGGAGGACCAACCGTAAATTCATAAAAGAATGGACAGCATAGAAAGGATCATATGCAGTGAAATAAGTCAGAGGAAAAAGAAAAATATCAAATGACTTCACTTATAGGAGGAATATAATAGAACCAAATAAGACATAGGGAGAAAAATTGTTATTACAATATAAAACAACACAACAAAACAAAAACAGACAATTATAAACCAGAGCTACCCTACAGGATAGGGGCAGGGAGACAGATTGGAAGAAGGGAGGGAGGAATGTGGGGGACTATGGTGATGATGCATGGGCGAATTGAGGGAGGGGAGAAGTAAACATTGTTTTAAAATGAATAGTAATATAAATGGATATATAAATTAATAAATTTTAAAAAAAAGAATGGAAAAGAAAGTCCATTGCTACCTGTCCACACCACATGTAAAGGGAAAAAGTACTAAGAATTAGTAATCATATAAGCTTATGCCAGTAATTAAGTAATAAATAAGTTCTTAAAACATATAAGAAATATTTATATAAAACCAATTACATTCTGCCTCATAAAAGAATCCTCCCATATACAAAGAACCAAATAGCCTAAAAACCAAGTTTCTCATGAAAATACAACAGTCAAAAAAAATGTGAACTCAACAAAATGATAGCCAAAAAAGAGAGAGAGAGAGAATGTGTTTGGAAATGGATTTAAAAACACACATATGGATACTTCAATAACAGCTGTAAAGCATTTAGAAACACTGAACAGTAAAATACCAAATATTAAAAATTGTTTGATACAGCTAAATAATACTTAGGGTTATATTTATAATCTTCTATCCAGTCAATAGAAATGAAAAAATTTAAAACAGACTTCTGCCTCCAAGAAGATGGTTTGATAAAATCTTCCCATTCTTTTCACTAAGTACATCTGCAAACCTTGGGTATTATATATAAAACAAACATGAGGGACTCTAAAAGGTAGAAAGGAGGAGGAACCATGAAACCTGAGGAATTACAGTGCTTAGTTCTTTCTGTTTTCCTTTTGCCTCATGCCCCAGTGTTGATGCTGAAGAAATAAGCCACCTGAAAACACTGATAGGTGCCTTCTGGCCAAAAAAAAAAAGTCACAACTCATATAAAAAAATCTGTTAAGGAAATTGAATGCATGATTGGACATCCTTAAGGATCAGATAGTTTTTCACTGGATAATTCAACCAAAAGTTAAAATAAGACTACTTCTACACAATCTTAGAGAAAATAGAAGAGGAGAATATATACTTTAGTTAATTTATGAAGCTAGTGTTACTCTGATACTAAACCCAGACAAAAGTAGTACAAAAAAGGAAAAATATCTGTCATGAATATAGACATAAAAAACATAGTATTATTTGCAAATACAATTCAATATTTAAAAAGATTTCTGCCCTATTATGAACTAGAATTGATTCTAATGTTTCAAGGCTTATTCAGTATTTGAAAATTTATGTATCCCACCATATTTATAGTTGAAGGAAGAGAAAAACAATAATACTGATCATCACAGCAAAAGCATTTGAAAAATTCAACACCAATTCATGATAAAAGCTTAGATAAATAGATGTAGAGGAAACCTCTGCAACTTGATAAAGACTAACATTATACTTAATTGTGTAAGACTGAATGCTTTCCTTCTGAGACTGGAGCAAATCATGGAGGTCTGCAGGGCTGGAAATTCTAGAGAGTGCAATAAGGTTTAAAAAGGTATTCAGAAACCATCTATTTGCAGGTCACATTTCTATGTAGAATATATGAATAACAAAATTTGTAGAAAAAAATTGCAGGATGTAAAGTAAATGTACAGAAAGCAATATTTCTATATACTGGTGATAATTACTGGTGACAAATGGGCATTATTAAAGATATAATATACTTTAGAGTTAAATTTTAGAATGAAATAGTGTAAATCTAACATTTACATATAGGACTTATGTACTAAAAACTAGACATTGTTGAGTAAAAAAATATATTTTTTTTAAAGATTTTTATTTATTTGTGCATACAGAACTGGGGTACAGGCCAGAGGCTCAGGAGCGGTGAGAGGCTTCACCAGAGATAGAGCGGGGAACAGAACAGGCAGATCGATGAAGTACACTGCTGAGGGGAGCAGCGGGTGGGTCAGGAGAGGTCTGCCACACCATGTGGTCACCTCCGGGGCAGGCGGGAATCGAACTCATGCGGAAGCGGCTTTAGATTCTCAGTGCTGTGCTTTAACCCGCTGCGCCACCGAATAAAAAAATATTTTTAAGTGGAGATACACTGTGTTCATTGACTAGAAGACTCAATGTAGTTAATCATTTCTGTAAGTTGAATGTAATTCCTACTTAAAATCCAAGAAAGATTTTAAGTAGTGCTATTCAGACTGTAGATTGTGATATTTATTCATCCCTAAAATCAACTATAGAGAGTCATGACCAGTAATTTCTTTCATGTGATGTAAAATATTTTATTTTAACTTGCATTAAAAAAGTTTAATAATCCACTGAGATTTCTATTATTTCCTACCAGAAGTCACCAATAATAGCATTTTCTTGTTTCAAGTTCAGTTCTCTTAACTTAGATTTCTTTGCCAGTGCTTTGCTTGCTGCACCTTGATTATCTGATGGACAAGCTAGACATGTTTATTTTCTTTGTCTTAATTTTTTTTAGTAACTGTGACTGAAGTTTTACCAAAGGAAAAGAAACAGAAAGATGAGAAGACTTTAATTCTTGGTCAAGCTGTGATAGACCTTCTTCCTTTACTGGAAGGTCAGATGTACAAAATGCTCAAAAGTGGAAAAGCAAGGTTCATAAAATTTAGGTCTTGAATGCAAAAATCAGCCTCAATGAATTTGAAGGATTTAATGAGCACTTTTTATTTTTTAAATGTTTTTAAAAAGATTTATTTATGCATACAAGAACTAGGGTACATGCCCACGGTGCAGGGCAGTGAGGGGATTCACCACAGACAGAGTGGGGAACAGAACAGGCCAACTGATGATGTACACTGCTGAGGGGAGCAGCAGGTGACACAGGAGAGGAATGATGCGCCATGTAGGTCAGCAACCTGGCCGGGGATTGAAGTTCTGGGCTGCAGATAGTTTCACAGTGCTGTACTTTAACCCTTTGGGCCATCAGGGAGACCCCTTAATGGGCAGTTAAAAAAAAAGATTTATTTTATTTATGGATATAAGAACTGGAGTTCAGGCCAGAGGTGTGGGGGCGGGAGGTGAGAGGATTCACAGTCACACAGTTGAGAGTGAAACAGATGCATCTATTGAAATACATTGCTGAGAGGAGCAGCAGGCAAGATAGGTCTGCTGCACCGTGTGGATTAGCTCCCAGGTCAGGTATCAAACTCATACTGCAGTGGTTGGTAATAGCTTGATAGCAATGAAACTCTAATTGTTGCACCATCAGGGAGGCCTTTAATGGGCATGTTTATCAGTCTAACCCTTCCTTCTTTGACTTTACTTGGCTTTCTTTTCACAGGAGACAGTTCATTTGAAACAGTGATTCCATTGCATCCTGTGCCAGGCTCACCCTTAGAACCTATTCGATCTAGTTCTAAGGTAATCCTGATTTTAACTGTCAACTTTTCAACCTGCCACTCAAACAAGTTTGTCTGTGATTCAGGTTGGATTCAGTTGAGTGCAGTTCATCAGATACCTTCTTTTCACAGATACATGTACATGTTCTGGTAAACAAAGACACATGTCTGGTTTAAAAAAAAAGGCAAACTCCTTTAAGGATTAACAATCTATATATCATTGATTATAACCAAGTGTGATTAAATAATGGGTTCAGACACAAAGGAACAGACTTGGTATTGATTATGTTGCCTAGGGATAGATGTTGGGAAGGATTAACCCTGAATGAAAAAGCCTCATAAGCTATAAACCTGAAGGGTGAAATACAATGCTGGATAAATGCACCTACCACATTTTTTGGAATGGCAGCCTCTGGCTACTGAAAGAAGAGTCACATGAGTGATATGCTGTGCCATTATTTTGTCTTCTAGGCTGTTTCCCATTCCTCTCTCTGAGTATTAGTAATTTCTTGGAGCACTTTACCTATCTGGTATAAGTGTACTTTCTCAGTTGAATCTACATTTCTCTTGTGACTTGAGAGAGGAAGACTGATTAACCCATTGATTTCCAATGCAGGTCCCTAACTAATTAGCCATCATTGGAAGGCCTTTCCTGTTTCTTGTTAATTTTGATATGGAGCTACCACAGTTCATTCATGCATTTTCTGTGGTCTCCTCTTTTTATTTTAGGGTTTGGTTGGTTTCTTCTAGTTTTGTTTCTCTGTAGAATGCTTTTCTTAGAAGGATTCCTAAAAACATGTAAGCCACTGATAGTATTTCTTCTTTCCTAGGGCTATTATAGCATTATCTTTTCAATGACTTTAAAGATATAATTTCATATTTTTCTGTCACTCCATGTGATTTGTATTAGGAAGAGATGTATTTGTTGTTGTTGTTTTTTGAAGATTTTATTTATGCATACAGAAATGGGGTACAGGCCAGAAGTGCAGGCGTGGTGAGGGGTTTCACCAGGGACAGACTGGGAGCAGACCAGGCGGCCAGATAAAGGGCGAGTCAGGAGAGTTCTGCTGCACCATGTGGATCACCTCCAGGGCTGGGGTTAGAACCTGCAGCAAAGCAGCTTTGGCTAGCTCACAGTGCTGTGCTTTAGCCAGTTGTGCCACCAGGGAGGGCTAGGAAGAGATGTATTTGAACTCTGTCTGCCTTTATTAGGTCCCAGTCCATATACTATAGATTTTCCTTAAATAAGAAGTTAGTTAAAGTTAGTTCTCATGACTATTGTTTATATATTTCTGTGTTTACTTGTTTCACTTATGTAAGTTTTACATACTCAAAAAATATATGACAGTTAATTTCCATTTGCTAGAGAGTTCTCACTAATTTTATATTTAAGCATCTATACTGGTTAGTCTCAAAACTCAGAGATAAAAATGATATAGTCCTATAGTTGGGAAGAATATTCTAGTTCATCCTCCAGTATTTCCTGTCTTGTTTGAGTATTAGAAGTTAGAAATCTTGAATTGATAAGAAATAAAAGGAAAATTTAAAAAGTCTTTTCCCTCCTTTGGTTAAAAAAAGACCAGTGTCTCCACTGCTCTGTTTAAATAGATACATCACTAAATTAAAATACTTGGCATCCCTTACCAAAAAATTACTTTTAGAACTTATTTATTCTGTGAAAAAAATATTTTGTCATTTTTTAAAAATAGAACTACGTTAAAGAATGTAATTTTCAGATATTTTATTTTAAAAATATGAATATTTTATGTACACTAAAAATTACAAAGGTAATCATAAAATTAGAGTAGCAAAAAATAAACTCTAATCTCATTTCACTCATATATACTATTAACATTAACATTTCAGTATAGAACCTTCCAATTCCTCTTTTGTATGTTTTTTATGCATACTTGACCTCAGTATGGTCGAAGAGAAGGGCTCTGCTTGGGGTCAAGGGTCTGTGTCTCTAAATAATGAGACCTAAAATTTTATTTGAATCCTCTGTATAGAAATAATTAACCTTAAAAAATTTAACTTTGACCTGCTTACCTTGGATTTTAAGATTCAAATGAGATAATGCAAAAAATAAATAAATAAAAAGGAGGGCTCTATTATTTTTAAAATGTTGCAAAATTTCATTCTTTTCTAGCTATGTGGTCTTGAAGTTAAAGTATTTGTGGCAGAACCCTTATTGACCACAGCCCAGATCTCAGGAGGTAATCTACTGAAGGTCACATTGGAGGCTGCCTATTCTGTGCCTGAATCCTTTGTTCCGACAGGGCCCCTACAGAACTACATGGTTGGTCTGCAAGTTCCATCAGTTGGAGAGGTAAAGTCCTATATCCAGATACTTATATAGATTTAAACATGCATATGACCATTTCTTCTTCACTTGCTGTTTTTTTTAAAGATGTATTTATTTATACAGAACTAGGGTACAGATCAGAGGTGCAGGGGCCTGAGAAGATTCACCAGAGACAGAGTGGGGAGCAGAAAACGCAGATTGACAAAATACACTGCTGAGGGGAGCTGGGGGCATGTCAGGAGAGGTCTGCCGCGCCATGTGGGTCACCTCCCTGGCCAGGCATGGTAACTTGTGCTGAAGTGGCTGCTGCTAGCTTTGTAGGGCTAAGCTTTAACCAGTGCACCACTAGAGAGGGCCCTGCGCTTGCTCTTTTAAGCAAACACTGTTATCAGCTGAGATTTACTTTATACTTAAATTTTTTCTTCTGTTTTATATGTACATGTTCATAGCTTGTATATAAGTAGATAATACAGTAGAAAATATGTAAAATTGACATTAATCTTTCCCTGCTTAGATTACTTTTATATATATGTTTTGTGGCTTTTGTACAATGTACTTCACTATATAACATTTAGTACAAATTTAGTTTGAGTGATGTGTTATAGCTCTTTTGATAGAAATTTCCAAATTGTTTGCTAATGGTGTAATTAGTAAACATTTCTCCTATTTTATTGCCTTTCAGTTTCTCTTCTTTTTACATTATCACTAGCAGTGCACAAGTGTTCCATGTCCTTGCCAACACTTGTTTTTTGATACTAACCATCCCAGTAGTTGTGAACAGCATCTTCTTATATTTTTGATTTACATTACTCTGGTAACTAATGACATTGCATATCTTTTGATGTGCTTATTGCTTATTTGTAGATCTTCTTTTATATTTTATAAAATTTTATGTACGTATGTATAGAAGAACTGGGTGGAGACCCCGAGAGGTGTGGGGGAGGGGTGAGAGGATTCACCAGAGACAAGGTGGGGAGCAGAACAGCAGACCAGGCAGATCTACTGAAATAGACTGCTGAGGGGAGAGGAAGGTGAGACAGGACGCTGATTTTAAATTTTATTAGAAGTCTGAAAATTGCTTTCTATAGTTATACGAGTTTACACTTCCATCTTTTTTTATAAATTACCTATTTATATATTTACTAATTTTCTATTGCAAGTTTATTTTAGATAAACTACAAGTATGATCATACCTTTATTTTCAGTTCTTTATGTAAGTTTAGTTTTTTAAAGATTTTTAAGGTATATTATGATTCATTTAAATATAAATTACAAAAAGAGTGTCAGAAATTTTACTTGACTTTCTAATCATTAATAAGTAAGGATATTACTAAAATGTAGAAGTTCAAAAGAGAAACTGAAGAAACAGCCCACATATACACAATTGGGAATGCTGAAATGAATTTCAATGATAATCAAAACATATCAAAGTCTCAAGGCAATAACTAATTTCTATTAAGTAAGTTACATTAATTATCAATTTTTTATAAATTATAGAATATAAAACAGCACAAAGACAATGAAGGACATAGTCTTCTCAATAGAACCAGATATCTGTTAAGCAATATCCAGCATCCCATTGAAAAGACATTTCAGTAATCTTTTCTGTCCATTTAAAGTTTTTTTAACAACATTTCCTGGTATATAATATTTATTTCTATAGAAAGATTATCCTATTTTCTTCAAGAATGGAACTCTGAAGGTTGGAGGGGAAAAAGAACCTGTTCCCAGGCCCAAGAAATGGCCTATTCCCAACATTCTGGCTCCAGGAGCTAATAATATTCCTGATGAATTCATTGTCGGTGGGCCTTATGAGGACGAAGAAGGAGAACTCAACCACCCTGAGGTGAGAGAATTGTGATTTTTATGATAAGCTCAGCAAACTGACAGAAGATAAAACAGTTTGTGGATCATTGTAGTTTATATGCACCTGTCACCTGTTAAAGTCTAACAATTATTTAATTCTTATGAAAATGTCTCCGGACTAAGTTCAGCAAACAAAATAATTAAGTTAATTCAGATTACTCTTTATTTTTGAGTAGATAAACATGTAGTCACAGATCAAAATAAAAAATTAAGAGATACGTAAGTCTCCCTTTTACTCCATGTGTCTGCCTCTATATTCCTTTCCAACTCATTATCCCAGGAGTACCTTTGTGATAACTGCTTGGTTTCTTTTCAAGTGTTTTTTTTTTTTTTTAATGCATGTAAAAGCAAATAAATATAGTTAGAGGAAGGTTTACTAATAAAAAGAAAAGCCTTTAGAAAGTAAAGTTTTCTTGCAAAAAAAAGTACAAGAGAGTCAGAGTTTAAAAAGGTCAGATTATAGACTTTAGCATACTAAATGAGATAAAATTGTTTAAGAAGTTTATAAATACAGGAAGTATTCAAAGACTTATTTTAAAAACTAGAATATGTCAGGAAGATATTCCTATTTTTGCTTTATCTCAGGGTATAAGATTATTTATTTTAAAATAAGAATATATAGTGGTTAATCATATTGGAAGCAGGGGAAATATCTATTTTTGCTTTTATATATACACATACATAAATACATATACATATTCTTACCCTAATTTTTTTTTACAAAAATGGTGGCATTTGTACACTATTCTAAAAATTTTTCTTTTTGCTTTATAGTATATCTTTGAGACTTTCCTGTATTATTACTTAAAGAGTATTCTTATTCTTTTACTTTGTCTATTTATGCTTTTTGTATGTTGTGACATTGCATGGACATACTTTACTTAAACCACTCTCCTACTGGTAGACATTTACATATTTTAAATTATTCTCGTTTTTATTCTATTCCTCTTCCCTCCTTCTTCCTCTCTTCCTTTCTCACATTTTTTACTACAACCCTTATTTGTCACTGGCATAGAAAGTGCTGTAGACACATTGCAAGTGTTTCTTGAATTAACTAATAATCATTAATGGAAACATTCAGTAAAATAATTTGTAAACTACAGATAGTTTGATTATTTTTAGTATCTGGCTCTAAGTATTTAAAATTATAGAAATAAGGCTACATTATCATTTCTCATCAACATGATTTTTGAAAAATTCTTTTCCTTAGATTTATATCTTCATTTAGATCAGATATTTTATTTTGAGATAGTGAATTATATTTTGTTTAGGTCATTGGTTCCCAACCTGAGAATCCCCTGAAAGCCACTAAAAAAATAAAAATGGCTCTGCTATAATCCAGATCAATTACCTGTGAATTTACTTTTAAAATAATACTAATGCCCAGGATTGATTTTTTTTTTTTAATGTTCCCAGATAATTTTTTTAGACGCTCACTCAATCCAGGGTTGAGAATCACTGATTGAGGTTATGTGAGTGAATGTCAGGCACTGAGTATAGGGTTGAAATAAGAAGAGTATACATTATTTGTCTTACTTTTTTTTTTAATTTTTTTTTAAGATTTATTTATTTATTCATACAGAACTGGGGTACAGGCCAGAGATGCAGAGGGTCAGAGGATTCTCCAGAGACAGAGCGGGGAGCAGAACAGGCAGATCGACGAAGTACACTGCTGAGGGGAGCAGTGGGCGG